TGGTAGAATTTGTTCTGGGCCTGAACGTCCTAGTCTAAAAGTGGCGAATAAAAACATAGGTGAAAGAATGGTAAAACTTAGTTGGGTTTATCTCTCCAATCTAGATATTGAAACAAAACCAGATGATATTCTGGCTGTACTCGACCCTAAGTTTACTCATATTTACCAGTGTCATAAGCTACCCTCAAGATTTGAAAATCCTAATAGTGCAGCCTTCAAACTGGGTATTCCTGAAGAACTGGAAGAAAAGTACCTTTCCACGAACTTTTGGCCTGATGGCTGTGTTGTTGGCCGATATAAAAATGTGGGTCAGGACAATCGTGGAAGATCCAAAGGTTTTTATCGGACCCATAAAAATTTTTCACAACCAATGCATCGCCGGAACTGGAAGTAGAGATGCCAAATCACAGTCAGTCCTCGTATGAACTACCTAGCACAGATATTGATGTAAGCTCTCTGAAAGTTGTTCATATAAACCCCTGGTCGATCTGCAATAAATTTTCTGATATCAAATATTATATTCTCCAATCTGATTTTGACATTGTTGCAATTTCGGAGACATGGCTAAATACCGACATACCCTCTCATTTATATGCTATAGAAAATTTTACATTATACAGAAACGATAGGACTGGTAGGGGAGGGGGTGTTGCAATCTATGTTTCCAGTAGGTTGCACATAGTGTCAATCATAACTCCAGATATGGATAATGGAATAGATGTGCTCTGGGTTACCTTTAAACACAACAAACTGTGTGCCAGTGTGGGTGTTGTTTATCGCCCACCTTCTGTTGCATATGCAGGGTTACAGTTCCTTTATGATATGCTACCTGATATAATTTTTAAATGTGATATATGTGTGTGTATGGGAGACTTTAATATAAATTTTTTGCCTCAGGCTGGTGTGGATTATACATTTCTCTGTGATATTTTTACTTCATTTAATTTTAGTCAACTAATTAAAGATCCAACTAGAATTGCGCCAAACCATGAATCTCTAATAGATTTAATTTATGTAAACAAACCTGAACTGATTATCGATGGTGGCGTGGTACCATGTGACCCTATACAAACCGACCATGAGGCTGTTTATTGTTCTTTGAAGTTTGAAAAGCCCAGACATGTTAATAAGATTGTAGAAAGTAGAAGCCTAAAAATGGCACACACTGAGCAATTTCAGGCAGAATTACGGAATATAGATTGGCATAACCTTTATGTTTCTTGTGATATTGATGTTAAGGTCCATATTTTTAATAGTAGTTTCTTAGATTTGTTTGATGTGTATTGTCCTCTCAAAAAAATTGAACTGAGGAAATCAAAACCTCCCTGGCTTACATATAATTTAAAAAAAATGATTGAACTAAAACATAAAGCATTTTCTAAATATAAAACAATAAGGTCCTTTGAAAGTAAACAGTACTACCTTCAGCTAAAAAATTATATAGCTCATGCAGTTAAGGCCGAAAAAAAGGCATATTTTTCAAAAGAATTAAATGAATGTACTGGTACAAAGAAAAGCAAGCTAATTTGGGATAAAATGTCAAAACTGAATATTACACCTAAAAACACTAAAGATATTCTAAATAATTTTAGAGAACCTAATGTAATAAATAATCATTTTTTGGATAATATACCTCAAACTAGTGTTGATCCAGAAGTCTTAAATTGTTTCCTCGGTTCAAGTGCAGATTGGGAGCCATTTCATTTTAACCTTGTGACTGATGATGATATTTTAGCATGTATTAAAAGTATTAAAAGTAATGCTATTGGTGTGGATCAGATCTCTATAAAAATGTTAAAAGTATGTTTACCATATTGTCTGGGGCCACTAGTAAATATTATAAATTTTTCCTTACAAACTGGTATGGTTCCGAGCATCTGGAAAATGGCTCTCATCACCCCACTTCCTAAGGTAAATAATCCTTCGGGCGTTAATGAATTGAGGCCAATAAGCATACTGCCTGCTGCCTCAAAAATTCTTGAAAAGGTGGTTAAATGTCAGATTGTGCAGTTTTTGTCTCTTACAAATATACTACCAAAATTTCAGTCTGGTTTCAGATCACATTATAGCTGTGCCACTGCCTTACTTAGAATAACTAGTGACATTTCGGCTGCTTTCGATCAGTCACATTGTTGTCCCTCAGTTTTGGTAGACATGACTAAAGCATTTGACAGTTTAGACTTAAATCTTCTACTTGCAAAGTTACAGTATTATAACATTGGGGAGCAGGACTGGCTCAGAAGTTACCTTTGTGAGAGACAGCAGGCAGTTAGACTGGCTGGGGTTGAAGGAGTGATTCTGTCTGATTGGAGAGTTGTGACGAGGGGAGTACCACAGGGATCTATTCTCGGTCCACTTCTTTTCACCATCTTCGCATCAGATCTTGTAGAGCGAATATCTCACTGTAAATATCACATGTATGCAGATGACCTTCAAATTTATCTTCCAACATCCCCGGCTGATCTTTCTGACACTATTGAAATGATCAATGTGGATCTACAAAATATATCAGAATGGACTTCTGATAATTCTCTTCTTATAAATCCCAACAAAACACAAGCTATACTGTTTTCGCGGACCGATATTGATTTATCTTCTCACCATATTACCCTTAACGGTGTTGCAATTGAATGGGCCGATGAAGTGAAGAACCTCGGACTATATATGGACAGAAAACTTTCATTTAACTCACATGTTAGTAATATATGCCAAAGATCATATTACAAATTAAAACTTATCTATGAATTCAAAAACACACTTTCATCTAATGTTAAAAAACTCTTGACTGAAAGTTTGGTGCTGTCTATTCCGGGGTATCTAGATGTGGTTTACGGGCCGTTCCTTACAAATCTCAATAAGTATAGAGTACAAAAAGTGCAGAATGCTTGTGTGCGGTACGTGAGATGTTTGTGTAGAAGGGAACATGTAAGTAACCATGTTGTTGAAGTATTTGGGCATGGTATGGCTCAGAGACGATATATTCATCTGGGATGCCAAATACACAAAACTTTGAAATTGAAAGAACCTGCATATCTAACCGAGTTAATAATTCAGCGAGGTGATAGGCACCAGGTGAATGTTCGTTTCAGAGATGCCATATCAATTCCACATCATCGTACCGAATTTTTTAAATCTTGTTTCACATATCTGTCTGCCCAGATTTACAACTCCCTTCCTCATAATTTCAATAAGGGTCTAAGTGTTTATTCTTTCAAAAATAATTTAAAACGCTTTGTGTCGGATAGATCACTCAGTCTTTAATTTTAAATTGGTGCCTACTGCTAATTGCTTTGTAATGTTGGACCTTTTTTTTTTTGTGATATTGTTTTTATTATTATTTTTATTTATTGTAACTAATGTTTATCTCTGTTGTTAATTTTAACTTCTAATTTTAAGTGTTTAAGATTTTATTATTATAGCAAAGGGTGGTTATTAAAATACGCCTGGCGGTACTTTCCACCTTTGTATGGTAATTTTTACATGCAATAAAGATTATTTTTTTTTTTTTTTTTTTTTTTTTTTTTATATAAAATGTGTACATTTCTTGGACATTAAACCACCTGTATTTCGGAAACTATTCATAGTATCGGGTTGGGCCCATGGGAACTTTTTATCAGTAAGTCAAGATATACCACATATCAAAATTTCATTGAGTTTGACAGAAAACCAAAAACCCATAAGAGGTGTGCGGGGTCCTTTGATACAATATTATTTAATGCAATGCAAACTTTCAAAAAAATTACTCAAATTTCAAATTTTCTGTTGTCTACATTGTCTACATAGTTTACATAGTCTACATGGAAAAAAGTAGATGTAAACAATACGTAGACAACGAGTAGACAAACCGCGTAAAGTAGATTTCATAGTCTACGGCACATCCCTGGCGGCGATTACCAAAAACGATGCCGATAAGCAATCCTGTAGGTGTGAATCATCCCTATAAACAGCCTACGTCAAGGCGAGAAACGACACGCTGCTACGTCACACTTGGTGATTTGGCGTGATGTGGGGCTTCAGATTTGTTCTACACAGGCCTTATGAGGATGGGCTATCCTGTAGTAGTAGTCTGTATTATCCTTGGATGTACCTATCCTTTTGCTGTTTAAAAGTTCTTGCTAACTCTAACTCATCACTAAACTCCGGGGTGCATTACGTTCTCAACCTTGGTACGGTTACACGTTCCGTAATGTCTGGTGCCTGCAAAACTGGTCTATACGGAACGCGGCTCCTGTAAAATGGTTATGACAAACATGTCACCAGGGTCCTTATTCTTGAAACAGGGGAGCAGCGTTCCCAGGAGAACAAGTGTTTCGTCCTTGTTACTTAAATTATCATTTGCATATCATTGAGAAAGACGGAACACTCATTCTCCTGGGAACGCTGCTCCCTTGTTTCAAGAATAAGGACCCAGACAACCGGCAATCGCTGATTGGTTTTTCGGTAAGTGTTATTCTATTTCTTTCGTTTCTACTTGGTTTTACTCAACTTTCAGTGTGAAAGTCACTTCTTCGTCTTCGACTGGAAAAACGTTCCGTATAAAGCCCACTATAAAACCGAAATATTCAGCAACCACTGTCAACCGACGTTGTACCGATGGGTTAACCCAATGAACTAGAGCTAAAAACTGGAATGCGCACACAGTGCCATATCTGCCAAAAAAATGAAGCCATGAAAGACAGATGCCACAACGGGGAATGTTGTTTTTTTCTGTTGCTCGCTGACATATGACGTTTTCGAAAGTTTTGTCATATTTCCCTTCACAGGCTTCATCAATTGGAATACGTGTTGGAAGCAATTTTCGCCATTTAACATAATGAGTGCGACAAAAACAGGTATCCCCTCCGCAGCAGCCGCACTAGGCTTCACGTTCGTCCTTATGTGTTAGCATTCCAGTGTTTGGTTATAGTTCATTGGGTTAACCAGGTTTGGAAACGGAATCCACCCTCTCGGTAATCGACATTTGACATTCCTCTTGACACAGGGTCAACATCAACAATCAACGTCACTGTCACTGCGGTTATACTCAACAAATTTTTTTTGAGGAATTTGTCCAATATTCATCTAAAATTATTAGTGCTAGCATAGTTTGGATTTCTTAAATAGGTTTTTGAACGATTTTTTAATTCACACAACAATTTGCTAACCAGGCGTTATTGTAAGTGTCCTTTGATTTGTATTTTTCTATGTATTTGGCCACTGTCAAACCACACCACTATCAATAAGGGGGAGGTTCTCATCAGATATTACACATATTCTATAGTTTTTATTCAAGAGATTCGGCCTCAAAATGTATTAACACTTCCAATTTTTTCAAGATTTTGAGAAGATATTCTGTAGGCTCACACAGAAACCATGCCAGCCGTCAGAGGTGATGGCATGAGAGGCTTGGCAGTTTTCATTTCCGACATCAGAAACTGTAAGTACCATAAGAAATATCGAAAGAAATACTCAACATAAGATATAAATATATAGCAAAAAGCCGGGCTGTGTGCCTGCTATCACATGATGTTTTTCAAACTTCAGTAGGCTTTATTTATCATTCTAAACAATACCTACCTATATTTATTACTCTTATCAATTTAAGTTGTTAATGTTTATGACCTTTTAGGTAAGAGCAAGGAAGCTGAAATAAAAAGGATAAACAAGGAACTAGCTAATATAAGAAGTAAATTCAAAGGAGATAAAACTCTAGATGGTTACCAGAAGAAGAAATATGTGTGCAAATTGCTATTCATATTTTTATTAGGACATGACATTGACTTCGGGCATATGGAGGCTGTTAACTTATTGTCGTCAAATAAATACTCAGAAAAACAAATAGTAAGTACTTTCCCACTTGATATGGTTATTTTGTGTGCCATAAAATAATATTAGCATAGTTCCTCGCATAAATCTTACTGCAACTTGTTAACCTGCAGTTAAATTTTTCATTTGACACTGGTATAACTTTAACATAAGATTTAACAAAAGATTCAGTTACTTGCAAGTAAACACAGAGTGTTTCAGTCTTGAGGGGAACCCTTTGAAAAATGTTGTGAAAAATCTACGGTTGATTAGCAATCATTGTGATTACAATTTTATCCCAAGGTATTTATTTCTGATGAATTTAACTAGGTATGATTCCAATAAGGACAGACTACAGCAGATATTGAGGAAAGTTCAAAACATATTCCATATTATCAAACTGTAATACAAAAAATTGGTACTTATTTTCAATAGTTCTATCCAAAAAAATTATACCAACTTATTTAATGGTCGCAAAAAATCTACGACTTACCTCTTGTTAGTACGATACGTCACAATCTATGCTTGATAATTTCGAAAATTTCAGAGAACATCAAACATACAAATTATTGATAAAAGTTCTCGATTTTATTGTCTTCAGAATAAGACGCATTATTTCAGATTTAGTTTTTTGTTTCATTTTGATTTGTTTTTAATTAATACCAAGTGTTGCAAGTTGCAATAAAAATGTTGTCAAATATTAGCGTTGAAATTTACTTCAATTAGGTACGTTCCTTATTATTTGGTTAATTTTAAATATTCACGTCGCAAAGAAGTGTATTTCTTAAAAATTAAAAAAAAAAATCTCGAAAACCGCTAAGAATGGTAAAGAGGTAAATAATGTTTAATCGTTAGCAAATGGGCTCTACTTTGACCACCTCAAAGGAATAAGCCCACTTACCAGTCACCCTATACCTCATATTCCAACAGTATTTTTAGGAGGAAGAGATCCAACACTTTCTTCTGCTTCAATTCTCAGGAAAATTGGACCCTCCTGTATAAATTAGAGTAAGTGGACATCAACAAGTCTGCAGGACCTGATGGTATTCCTAACAAAGTACTAAAATATTTTTCTAACACTTTGTATCTCCTTCTATTTATTATTTTTAACAAATCCTTAACCTCTGGAATTTTTCCAGGAATGTGGCAAGTCTGCAAGACCTGATGGTATTTTCAACAAAGTACTAAATTCTTGTTCTAACACTTTGTATCTCCCTCTATTTATTATTTTTAACAAATCCTCAACCTCTGGAATTTTTCCAGAAATGTGGAAGCTCTCTTATGTTTGTCCGATTCTCAAGTCAGGCAGCAAGGATGATGTAACAAACTACGGACCTATCAGCATCCTGTTTGCAATTCGTAAATTATTTGAGCAGTGTGTTGAAAATATTCTTTCAAAAATATATCATCAGATTGTGATCAGTCAACAGCATGGGTTTACAGCCGGTAGATCTGTTGACACGAACCTTTCTCTTTACAAATTTTATAAATTCATCATTAGATAACAATGCAGAAACTCATGCAATATGTACTGACTTCAGTAAACCCTTTGATAAGGTAAACCATAACATCCTTTTTTCAAAACTCACATGTTATGGCGTTTCTGGACCCTTACTTTCATGGATGAAATCTTACCTTATTAACAGAATGCAACAAGTCAAGATCAATGGCTATCTTTCTTCTTTTTTTTCATGCATCCTCTGGGGTACCCCAAGGCTCGCACTTGGGCCCCCTTCTATTCACCATATTTATCAATGATCTAGGATCGTTGCTCTCCTCAAATTTTTTACCCTTCGCTGATGACTTGAAATTGTATCGTCAAGTGACGTCAGCTCAAGACATAAGTACTTATTCTACAAAACGATCTTGACATTGTTTATGATTGGTGTCAGCTCAATTACATGTTCCTCAACATTGATAAAGTATAAGATATAGTAGACTCACCCGTAAGGTTCCGTTTCAATATTGCTTATGCGATGTTCGCTTGTGTTTCTATCATGACAATTTTATATTAGTGGTTGATTATTTGCTGTATTTTGTGCATTAAAAGCTCTGTTCGGGTTTGAAAAAAGGGCGGTTCTAGAACAGGGTTTATAATTTATCATCATAAATAAGTAAATATTGAACTTTTTTTCTCTTACAACAAAAATAAACGAGTTATGTGGGTGGTCAATTTTTATTTATTTATTTATTTATTTATTTATTTATTTATTTATCAATCAGACATCAACAGCCAGGGGCCAATTATAGACATCCACTTAAGACTAACAGTAACATAAAGCTTAACAATACACTTAAAAGAAATAAAGATATGTATTAAACACTAAAACATTTTTACTAAAACTAAACAATACATAATTAAAATGGTTGGTTAAAATCAATTTTGTACAAACCACAAACGTCCTAAATCTCATCCCGCAGTTTACTATCAATTAGTTTTTTAAATTTTTTAAGATTAATTATGTCTATGTCAATATCTGAAGCATACCGATTAAAAACTGAACACATTCTAAATATAGGTGAGTTCTTGTACAGATTGGTTCTGGGAAACGCTAAATAGAAACTGTTTGAATTCCGAGAATTAATTCGATTTATCGCAAATGGCAACTGGCCAAGAATATCAGGACCATCAATTTCACCCTTCAGCAACCCAAACATTGTGCAAAGAATTATTTTAAATCTCCTTTTCTCCAATAACACTCTTCCAAAGACACCCAACAAATATTCATTATTACAACCTCTTTGTGGGTAGAATCCATATTTTCTAAAATAAAGAGACTTTAGAAATTTCCTTTGCACCCCCTCAATAATCGTAATCCACACATCATCTTGAGGAGACCAAATTACAGAACCATATTCCAATATAGGCAAAACTAAGCTGTCAAAAAGATGTAAACTTATGTCTATGCCAAAGTCTCTAGTGTTTCTTGTAATAAATCCTGCTACCCTCTGAGCACTTTCAATTTTTGCAAGAATGTGATCAGTGAAAGTGAGATTCACGTCAAAGATCAGACCTAAATCTTTTTGTTTGTCAACTCTTTCAATTTTAGTATTATTGTAAGTGTAATCATACTGATAAGAGTTTTTATTAAGGGTAAATGACATACACTTACATTTACTCACATTTAGATTAAAGCTATTCGCAGTACCCCAATTAGATACATTACAAAAGTTATTTTGATGAGTTTCACAATCCTCGATGGAATTTATTAAGTGAAAACATTTGAAATCGTCCGCAAACAGTAAGCCCTTGACGTCTTCAAGATTGCCCATGATACCATTTATAGCTGCTAAAAACAGAAGAGGGCCAAGATTAGAGCCCTGGGGTATCCCTGATGTGCTCTTGTACACAACAGATTTAGATCCTTTGATTTCTATGTATTGAAATCTATGGCTAAGATAGGATTGTATTAAATAAAATAGATAAGATGATACATTCATATCGTTTAGGGCTTTTAAAATTACGCAGTGCCTCACCTTATCAAACACCTTCTCCATATCTGTGAATATTAGTACAAATATGAATTCAGTTCACCAACATCTTGAAGAACAAAGACCTGACATCCTTGTTCTCACTGAAACTAAAATCAGTTCTGCAACACCTATTGTGAACTATCTATGCTGTGATGGCTATGGCTATGACCTACACCACCGATTTCGACATAATTTTGGGATCTGTGTGTACATTAAAAATGACCTTTCATGTCATCGAGAGGAGAAGCTAGAACCAGCGAACCTTGATATCATATGGCTAAAATTCACCTCAAAGTCATCGACCAAGTTTATCTGCTGCCTCTACCGACCGCCAAGTAACACCGAGTACCAAAACTTTTTCGCGACATTATCCGAAAGCTGTGATAGTATACAGTCAAACTATCCACAGGCGGAAATTGTCTTTTTAGGCGATTTCAACGTCCAGAATATACCCTGGCTGAAACACCACAACAAAACAGATAACGAAGGCAGAGAAGCAGAAGCTTTTGCCATAAGTTGTGGTCTAACGCAGCTTGTCGATGAACCTACCCGTATCTCAGAAAGGGGCGAATTTGCAGCGCTTTTAGACTTGTTCCTAACCACCAATCCTGACTCGTACACAATTCAAGTAGATGCTCCACTTGGTTCGTCCGATCATAAACTTATAATAACAAAGTGCGAAATGCTCATCCCACCAAGCCTACAACCACTTCCTCGTAAAATGTGGCACTATAAATCGGCAAAATGGAATGACCTAAAACAGTATTACCTGGATTTTCCATGGCAAGATGTTTGCTTTAAAACAGCTGATCCCACTATTTGCTGTAATGAAATAACACAAGTAATCTTATCTGGAATGGACGCATATATCCCACATACAACTAAACGTAGAGCTAATGCAAAACCTTGGTTCAACAGCCAGTGTCAAACGGCTGTACAGAAAAAAAACAGAGCATATAACCTTTGGAAACGACAACAAACCGCTCAAAACCACACAGAATTTATAGAAGCCAGAAATAGTTGCAAAATTACTATTGACTCCGCTAAAGAAACATACAATCAAAGAATAAAAAACAGATTGCTGAATTGTCCAAGTAGTTCTAGGTCTTTTTGGTCTCTTGCAAAAGCTGTTGGATCTAACTTCACCAAGTCATCCATACCACCACTTACAGATAAAAATAATCACTTAGCCACAACATCGGAGGAAAAAGCCAATATGCTTGCCCAAATGTTTTCCTCCAACTCCAACCTAACAGTGCCAAACGGAAAAACTCCACCGTTCATTGAAAGGGTTTCCCATAGTATGCCAGAGGTACCCTTTTGTCACAGAGAAATACGAAAATCCCTAAAAAAGCTGGATACAAACAAAGCAATGGGTCCGGATGGCATTCCCGCGATAGTACTCAAAAATTGCGCCAACGAACTCACCCCAACTTTCGCAAAATTATTCAATTTGTCTTACAGGCAAGGAGTATATCCATCATCATGGAAGTCTGCCGCAGTACAACCCATTCCAAAGAAAGGAAAAAAAACAGATCCGTTAAACTATAGACCAATTGCTC